CCCCTTAAAGAAGATGAAAGGTATGCCAGTCTCAATGTATCAAGGCTCTCCAAAACCCAGCTTTTCTTCACATCCGGATAGGACCGAATTGTGCAGTCGTGTTTATGTAAAGCGGGAAGGGTGAAAACCACATCGACCTGGTCGTCACATCTGCCGGTCTTCTCCCTGCCTGTATTGGGCCTACACTTGAAACCTTGTTACAAGGCCTCGGCAACTAGGACTCAACGCACCAAATTCGCCTGCACCAACCGGCTCTTTTGTCACTAGGGCCAGTAGAATGAATCGTCGACACGACGCATGCCCTCTCTATCGCCGCCAGTCACATGTGTGTGTTTGTGTGTTGCATTTGCGCGTATTTGTGTGTTTGCGTATTCAAATGAAGAGGGATTTTAGAACAGAGCCGAGCCTCAATCCGCCTTGTCGGCATGGCAGCTCTGGTGACCTCTTGGACGTACAAACACTGGTCCGACGCCTGGACTGGTCAACCTGTGAGCTCGAGTAGACAGGCCACTTGCAGACAGGGTCTGTTTGACGCGCGATGCAAATCACATGATGGAAGTGGGACCGGTCTGTAGCTGAACCGAACGAGGGCTTGAGCCCAAGTGACAGACGAACAGGTTTGACAGGATCGTCGAAGAAGCGCAACGCTTGAAAGAACCAAGCCAGAATGGGCATGTATCGTCAACTGACCTCTGTCTCCAGCTGCCGTTGCCAGAGGCGGGAGCAAAATGCAATTTTCCCAAGTGGCCCGGCCGAGTATTGTTCCACTAAAGGCATCAGTGCATAATTAGAAAGACGTCAAGGATTAAAACTAGCAGGAGCCATTTAAAACTGCTTTGTGGGTGGAGGAGGTGGTCTTCTTGTGCCATTTAGTCTGGCCACCAGAAGTCCCGTGTCAGTTGCTACTCCCGCCTTTGCCGTGCCCCGAGGCAACACCAGTTGCTAGTGGCCGAGCCTAGTTGGACCTCACTATATTGACCTAGCCCTTGGTTGCTTTGGCTGTATGTGCCTGAAGGGTTGAAGATGAGTAGAGAAAACCTGAATTTGACGCTTAATTTGACGCTTGTTGTTGTGCCCTTCATTTCGTTTTAAATGCTTGAGGGAAAATTGGGTTTTCAAGAGGCTCTCTCAATTTGGTCTCATAGAAAAGTGAAGGAGGATGTATGCTGGAGTATCTTTCATTTCGTTTGAAGGGATTCTTCGTAAAGCATGTCTATGAAAGATATGACTGTAGATTTGTGCGAATATATCATCGGTCAACCGTCTCGCGACCCCTACCAATCCGTGCTGACCTTTCATCGGACTCGCAGTGACCCACCTGGTTAGAGCTGGGCGCCATACTTTTCGATAATTCAGCTTTTTTGTCATAATGTCTGATATATGAGATGCCGAAAACGTACTAAAAGCGAAAAAATCTTGCCTGATGACTTATCGTAAAGCATAACTTTAGGTTCTGATGATGTCTGTCATGGCGGGATAGAAGAGGGTTCAACACGGCTTCACCTAAGTCGCGTACTTATTCGCACAAATTACTTGTCACGGACCCAAAACAATTCTCCCTCCTATATTCGTATAAGAGTAGGGTTTCGAGACTACCAGTAAATCAGTGTAATGAGATGTATTCACCCTATTTGTGTAAGGTGATTAAGAGACTGGTAGTAGAATTTTCCCACAATGATATGAGTTGAGATGACGTTTCCCTTGAATTTCACATATCCTTGCTTTCCCAAAAGTTGTTCTCATCCAGGCACCAGTGGACTGCAGTTTCGAC